ACTTAATAGGGTTTCAATCTTCCTATTTTGTTGCATCATTCTGTGTCTTCTCTTGTTCTGATAAAATTAATTTTGGCTTTGGTCTCTGTAAATATGAGGTTGAGAAGTGAAACTCTTGAGGAACAAAGATGTTGCTGGTAGAATGGTTTGCTAGAAATTTGTTAGATTCGAATATTTGTGTGTATATTGTATATATATATATTTATATATATATATATATATATGCGTCAGCTGTTATGTGATGATCATCATATGTTGATATAATGATCTGCAATTAATATATGCTGATTATATACATATATAAATTGTATGTGTCTTCTCCAAGTTTTTTAGCATAAAATTTTTGAACATTGTTATTTGCATGAATGATAGATGTCATGGCATGTATATATAATATAACGTATGTATATATAATATACGATCATTTTCAATAAATATATATAGAATACACATGACGTCTCCTGTGCAAGAAGTATAATTATTGTAAAAATTAAGATCTGAGGAGAAACATCTATAGACATTAAACAAGCAGTATCTGGTGGAATTAATGCCAAACTAACAGATGAAGCTTCCTTTACATATATAAATATGTATGTATATGTTTGAATATGGTGTACTACACAATATAAATATCTGTTTACTATTCATATAATTGAGACCTTTGAGAAAACCTTTGTTTTCTCAACCATCTTGTAGCTTGAAACGAAGTACTTATAATATATGTATATATACACGTATATGTCCTTGTAAATTATATATATATATATATATATATATATATAGATACGTTTAACAGAAAAACCAGAAATTCAGGGCTTCTTGTCACTTTTCCATTTTCCGCGCATGAAAATATTGACTGATTAAAATCATGCATCTATGTACTCTGTATTATATACATTTATACATATTGAATATGTATTAATATATATATATATAACCATATAAAGGGATTTATTGTATGTGTGTGTATGTAAGGAAATTATGGGGAGGTGAAACTCAAAATTTCTCAGCTGGGTTTCCGAATACCTAACAAATTAGAGAGAAATTCATGACTGAATATATAATTACATCTCATTTACACTGTGCATAAAACAAAATACTGTAATATATGTATTCACAAAATCTTGCAATTATCACAAAAAGCAATTACTTTTATAAACCTTAAAAGAAAAATCCCACGTTAACTAGCTACAAACATATACATACATACATACATATATATAATTAATGTGTATTACACCGACAGATACGACTTTAATCAGATAAGCAGCTCCCATCACATGTCAGTGTTCTTCTGTGTCTCAGAATCCCGCCCATCCCCGTACATCACTCTCTCAGCCGTACTTTACAGGTACTGAAATACTTAACGCGGTTTACAAGATAAACTCTTTTCTCTTTGTCTTAATTATATATCTCTTCTTATTTACTTCAATATATATATATATATATATATATATGTACATGTATGTATGTATATACGTTGAAAATATTTATAAAGAACGAAAATACATGTGCTATCTTATCATTAATTTTGCTTATGAGAAATATAATCACCGACAACCGCGTAAAGGATGTATATAAAATGGAGACCTACCTAGCTTGTTCTTCCTCCAAGAAAAGTTCGATCTTTTTCACTTTGATCAGTAGTTGAGTATAAAGGATATACATCGGAGAGAGTTCGTTGCTGTTTGGTTGCCGAGAAAATGGTACCAGCTGCTATTAATATCTTTCCTTTCTGCTTAATTATTATTATTAGTTTGCTTGCAGAGGGGATTAATGGTTGGATTAATGCTCATGCTACTTTCTATGGAGTTAACGATAACCCCACCACCCTTGGTACGTTGGTTTCCATTATTAATTTAATTCTTGTGTTTTGCATAAGTAATTACTTACTAATCATTTTTTTAATTGGATGATATGTAATTTTTTATCTTATGAATGTATAAATTTAAGTGCTATATATATATATATATGGGTTTATATATATATATATATGCATTTTTATGTGTTTTTTATTATAAAATTATATTATATCTAATTATTATTATGATTTATGATTTTGACCTATGCAATATGACGATGTTTTCTCATATGTATGTTCATCTGAAACTTGATTGGGATTTAATGAATTGATCATATATAAATATATATATATATATATAGGGGGAGCATGTGGGTATGATAATACAATGCATGCGGGATTTGGAGTGAACACGGCGGCTTTAAGCGGCGCACTATTCGAAAACGGCGGAGCCTGCGGCGGTTGCTACCAAGTGATGTGCAACTACAGGGAAGATCCCAAGTGGTGCCTTCCCGGCCGTATCGTCACTGTCACTGCTACCAACTTCTGTCCATCCAACAACAATGGCGGCTGGTGCGACCCTCCTCGCCACCACTTCGACATGTCCTTCCCGGCCTTCCTCCGCATCGCCCGCCGCGGCAACGAAGGCATCGTCCCTGTGCTATACAGGAGGGTGAGTTGCAGGAGGAGGGGCGGAGTGCGGTTCACCATGAGAGGTCAGTCGAGCTTCAACATGGTGATGATCTCGAACGTGGGAGGCAGCGGCGACGTGAAGGAAGCGTGGATAAGGGGGTCAAGGACAAGGACATGGGTGGCTATGCGGCGGAACTGGGGAGCAAACTGGCAGAGCTCCGTGGATCTCCGAAACCAGAGATTGTCTTTCAAGCTCACTCTTGGCGACACCAAGACAATATCGTTTATCAACGTTGTTCCATCTTCATGGCAGTTCGGCCAGACATTTGCTTCTCATCTTCAGTTCTCTTAACTTAAAGAAAGAGACAGAATCAATCATGTCTCAGAGCAGGCCGTGTTTTTTTCTTGAAGACAAGGGTGTTATTAATTAATTATCCTACATATATATATATATATACGCACACACACGTGTAATACTATTTTTGTGAGGGCACAGCTCCAGAATGGAGGAGATGATGCTATATATATCTGTTGTAATTTGAATAAATTTATATTAGTACAAGTTACAAGAATTGTTCTTCCTAACTATGTATGAATAAATCGTCCAAATAGATTGTACATAGACATATATACATTGATATATATATATATATAACTATGAATCGCACATTCTTTATCATATTTACATCAAATAGTTTTTATAATCTCCATCATAGACTTAAGAAAAGAAAAGAAAAGAAAAGAGAAAATGATAATCGAAGGCATAGAAGAGAAGCGTGATCCTAGTTTAGATCTACTTTCGAAATCACTATTATAAATATTTTTCTACACACGACACGATTTGAAAAGAATTTTATTTGTCATAAAAAATGACGAACACAACCTGAAACACTTGTTATACTAAAGAGTGTCCTTCATGGTGGAACAAGAAGGCGTCATTAAGTTATCATATTGAATTGTACTGTCCATTATAAATAAAGATCTTCCAACGTAATTGCAGATACTCTTTCAAGAAGAGAATACGAGGATGCTAAGATACTAAAAGTATTCGATACTTATATACATTATTTTTTTACTTAGTAGTTACTCACTAAATTATTGGTATTGTTTCATTAGTAGATTGTCATTTAATTTGCAATATAATTTCTTTAGATACAAAGAGAGTATTGTTATAGGCATCACTAGTACCATAATTCAGCTATACGATGTCACTCAAAAATCAATACTATCTATGAACTTGACAAATAACATTTTTACGAGCTCAACATGAAGAAACAAATTGTTCAATGGGTCAAGTAATGCAACATTTGTCAACGTCCACATATCGAATCTTCTGAAACCGCTACCCATTCCTTTTCGAGCATGGATTCATATATTTTTGGATTTATTTCAAAGAACAACTTTTCAAGTTTCAAAAAAATGACACTATATTATTGTTGGTAGATCCTTTCATCAACTATAGGCACTTTATTCTATTATGCCACCTATGTACTGTCTCTAAAGTAGCTTGCTGCTAGATAGAAACCATACCCAAATTGTAACACCAACAATTTTCTTTTTGGTGATTAAAAATTAATAAATATAAATTTTTATTAATTTATTTTTTATTATTCTATTTTATTTTATTTTATTTTATTTAAAGTAAAAAAAAATGAAATAAAATTTATGGACGATTTAATTGAAAATAATTTTGGAGAAAAGATGTGAAAATTTGGGTTCTGATGGTATTTTGAAAGAAAATCGAAAAA